TCTATTCTATTCTATTCTATTCTATTCTATTCTATTCTATTCTATTCCATTCCATTCTTGTTTTATTCTTATTCTACTCTATTATATTCCATTCTATTATTGTTTTTCTATTCTATTCTATTCTATTCTATTCTATTCTATTCTATTCTATTCTATTCTATTCTATTCTATTCCATTCCATTCCATTCCATTCCATTCCATTATTCCTCTTCCTCTTCCATTCCATTCTACCCTATTCTATTCTATTCCATTATTAATCTTCCTCTTCTATTTCTGTTCTACTCTATTGTATTGTATTGTATGGTATTCCTTCCATTTATTCTATTTCTATTCTATTCCATTATTCCTATTCCATTCCATTCCATTCTATTCTATTCTATTCCATTATTAATCTTCCTCTTCTATTTCTATTCTACTCTATTGTATTGTATTCTAAAAAAAAGTGAATTTTGCCCCATTTTACAACTTAGCTGTTGAGTGAATCCCTGCAGCTGGTTAAGTTGGTCACAGGGTTGATAAGTGAACTTTGACTTTGCTTGTCAGAAGGTCGCAAAGGGGGATTATCTGACACCCCTCCCCTCCCCAAGAGATTGCAACCGTCATGAGTACATGCCAGTTGCCAAGTGTCTGAATTTTAATCCTGGGACCACTGGGATGCTGGGTCGTCAGTGTGAAAAACAGCCATTAAGTCACTTCTTTCAGTGGTCCTTGTGGCTTCGAATGGACCCTAAACAGGACAGTTGTAAATCATGGGCGACCTGTAGCTAGTCCTCATGGTGCCAGTAAAAAGGAAAACATGGCAATGGAGTCCAGAGACCGCCTGGAGCTGCCCAATCCCACACAAGTAGTATCTTTCACTGTCCTTGCCTTGCACCCAGACTCTCAGTCGTAAAGAATGCGGGGGCTTTGATTTAGGGATGCCAATTTTATTGGGACATCAATCGTTTCAGGGTTTTGTTTTGTTTTTAAATTTTATTTTAATGATTGCCCAGTGCTTTTCTTCCTTTGGGTAGATGGGCAGCCCTATACATTGGTGAAATAATCCATCGGTAAATTGTCCAAGCTTCGGAAGTTTCAGGGAGGGGCGCTCTGCATAATTTATTCCTACGGCTTCAAAGGGGACATGCCAAAGTTACAGACGCCAAGGGCAAGCAAAGGACCACGTGGGTGGCCCCTGCTGCGGCAGATGGCTGGCAGGATGCCACCAGCCCAAGAGGAACATCAGAGCTGATACCAGGAGTCAGCAACTATGGCAAATTAACGGCCTGTGGACTTCAACTCCCAGAATTCCTGAGCCAGCCATGCTGAGTCCCATGTATCTGAGGTCAGCATCAGCTCGGCCTCTGCCACACCAACGACCTCTGTAGCCATGGCAACATATTGGCCTACCTTAAAGGGCTGTTCGAAGACAGTTTCTCAGCCTTCGCAATTTGAAGAGATGTGGACACCGATTCCCAGAATTCCCCATCATATTGGCTGGGGAATCCTGGGAGGTGAGTTCCACACTTCTTAAATCAGGCTGGCTGGGGAATTTTAGGAAATCAGATAACCTTTATTGTCATTTTTTTTTTTACTGAATAAAATTCTGTTTCCTAATCTCAGAAGAAAGTATATATCTACCCTTATACATACAATACACACATATATACATTCTATATACATACATTACAACCATCTTTCTCTCTGTGTATATACTGTATATATATGTATATATGTATGTATATCTATCTATCTGTATCTATCTATATGTAATCTATCTATACCCACACACATACACACACATACACCCCTACATTTGTATACATGTATATACCAGGAGTCTTCAAACTTGGCAGCTTTAAGACTTGTGGACTTCAACGCCCAGAATTCCTCCTCCAGTCATGTTAGCTCAGGCATTATGGGAGTTGAAGTCCACAAGTCTTAAACTTGCCAAGTTGGAAGACCTTTTGTATATATGCAGTATATTAATCACTGTCCATCTTGAATACGTAGCGGAAAGAGGAAACCTGAGAGCTCACAAAGTTGATGTACATGGGACACAAATGATAGAATCTAGATTTTCGGTAACAAGGAAAAGAGGCCATGGAGAGGATATACAGAGCCCCAGACAACCTGGCAAATTCCATGCAAGGTTGAACCATCATCCTTAGTGCCCTCTTCAGCTTGGTGGTTTTCTGGCAGATGCTTCCTTACCAGCGCTGTAGCGCTGATGTTGTTCCCTAGCTAGGTTATGAAACGTCTGCAAGGCAAACACCAAGATCTAAGGACTCCACAGTTCTCCTCCTCTTCCTTTGCAAATCCCCTTCCTTCAAGCACTGATAGAAGTTACCGAGCTGGGTCACAAAACATCGGCAAGGAAACCACCAGGCTCCAAAAGCGCCGAGCATTTTACAGCGATGGCTGCGCAGCATGGCGCATGTTACCCCTTCCCATAAAAAAATGCCCCTTTCTCAGCCCCTCCTAAGCTAAACACTACACCCTGTTCAAACCCAGGAGATTCTTTGGCAAAAGACCGCACAGCGCTCTGGCAGGGGGGTTGACAGCTTGGAAAACCGGCCCCATCTCCCCTTGGAAACCTGTGGAGAAGGGGGTCAGAGGGGGCCAGAGGGAAAGGGGCATCCTGGAATGCCATCCCCTCCTCCCTTGGGCCTATGTTGTCATTGTGATGGAAGCCCCCCCCCCCCGCCCAAGAAAAGTCACACGTGCACTTGTTGATTGTGCAAAGAGACAGGTCTCGATGGGTGTGCAAGGGAAGAACGTGCAAGAATTGTCCTGGATGGACACACACACACACACAGCCTTGCAAGCGCATCCTTGAGACCCCCTCCCCAAATGCAATCACCACCAGCATCAAAGCCAGCTTCCCCAACTCAAGCTTTTCCGCGCACGAAAGAAAAAAAAAAAGAATTCGACTAGTATCATCGCAATAATCACAACAATCCCAACAATTCCTCCCTCCCCCACCCCAAGGCTGAAATCCCCCCCACTCCCAGCGATGGCATCATCCCTTCCCTCCTTTGCTAACAAATTCTCCCTCCTTCCAATCAACCCCCCCCCCCCCCCCCCGCCCCCGGCCTGGGGGGGGGGAGGAAAAAAACGGTGGGGGGGAGGAGGGAGGGAACGGTCCAAAATGGGGGCGTGTGTGGGGGTGTGGGGGTGAAAGTGGGAATATTGTTCCCAACCGAGGAGGCACCTCCTCCTCCTCCTGCTGACAGAATGGGTCGCCCCCC